GACAATAAAAATGTTGGTATAGTGATCACTAAGCAAAAGTTTCTTCATACGGATGAGATATCTACAGCCAACTGATATTCTGTTAGTAGGTATTATGTACTTACCAAACTGGAAACATTGGAGAAGAACTGCATTCTAGAATGGATTCCTGCCCATGTTGGGATCAGAGGTAATGAAATGGCAGATGAATTGGCAAATGAAGCCAGAAAGCTGAGCCAAAGGAAAGAACAAATGTCAGTATTTGACGCTGATGCTTTGGCAAAATACTAGATAATTAAACAAAAAATAAGAAAAGATCAAATATGTGATATAAACTCTGAGATAACACTGACAAAAACTATAACAATACTTAGAACAAAACACTATAAAGGAATGGCAATACATCCAGATGGCACAAGAACCTATAGGGCATGCAACAACTGTCCTGGTGTGGAACTAACACCTACTCACATATTCTCATGCCCAGCAATAGCCGCAGCCTTGCAGAAATTTGACATAAACCCAGAGCAGCAGCTTTAAACACCCAAGATAGTGGATATTGCTGCTGCTGTGATGGAGATGCATGGAGACATCTGAGGCTCTTCATTGGACACGACAACAACAACAGGTATTATGTATTGTCCCTTCGAAAATTGAGGGAAGACCTTCATGAGATAGGAGGACACAAAGCAATTTATTTTGAATAAAACAATTTCAAATTTAATAGCAATATTGAAAAGAATTTAAGAGAAAATTTTCAGTAACAAAATAATTAAAATTTTTCAGTAACAAAATATCTAAAATTAATAATCTGTTGATTAATAATTATTAATTATGCTACAAAGGCCCTTCCTTATTTGGACTGTGACCCACAACTGGCAAAGTATATTGTTGCTGACATCGATCTTACGTATTTGGGTCAAGGTTTCACTCAGCGTCTAGTCTGGACAGCTTTACGTCATTTTTACTTACGGCTCGAATTGCGGATTTATTGTCTATATAGACAGGTCGTCTTTTTGAAAGGAAGTCTGGACTTTTACACGGCGGTGGAATCCTGGAGTCAGCCACGGAAATTGTAAATCACAACATTTATGACCTTAAGATCTGCTGACAATATTCAATTTGTCTTCCTTAAACTACCCAGAGTATTCCCTAAAATGTTGCACCATGAGGAAGCCAAATTAATTCACTTATTTTTATCATAAAAATAATATATATGTTATTAACAAAAATGAGAAAAAATAAAATAAGATTTTCTGAATAAGAGATAATCCATGAAATAATAATATGTTAATAAAAATTAATATTATTCCAAATATAACGAATGGAGGCATTAAGAAGCGAATGTTTCTTTTCACAAATGAATCAAACTTCTACTCTCCTAACAGCGATGAAATAATATTGGGAAGGCTAGGCTCATCAGTGATGAACCCTCTCAGCGATTTCGCCACTTTAATCTACCAGACAGCTTTCACATATCCTGATCACAACATCTGCCATTGTCACAGCATGTTCACTGCTCTGATTACAAAATGTTTGCAGCCCTGAACCTAAAATTTCTATTGTAGAAATTAAACTCTTAAAATCACGATCATTAAAACAATAATAAACATTAAGAGGAGCTTCTTGTGTAAATTTCTTTAATACCGCAAGCTTTCGAACAGAACGTTCTTCAACGGGCGTGGATAGTAAAAACGTACTAACTTGTTAGTACGTTTTTACTATCCACGCCCGTTGAAGAACGTTCTGTTCGAAAGCTTGCGGTATTAAAGAAATTTACACAAGAAGCTCCTCTAAAATTTCTATGGCATGGCTACAGATGTCTGTTCAACTTGCTTTATCAATCACACTTCACGCTGAACACCGGCATGGATAACGACGCCCACAACACACATCTGTAGCATAGTAGCCCTCGTAGTTACATACTGCTTACAGATTACAGATACAGACTTACATAACCTTTTCTGATAGTTCCTACAATATCTCTTAGCCCGAAGATATTCTACCAGTGACTTTAAATTGATATAAGGCTTACTTTCGAAACATGCCACCAGAACTTGTCTATCGGAGTTGACCTTCTTCGACCAAATTCCGATTTACAATGCTTTTCTGACGTGGTTCTAGAAATGTAATCACTAATTATAATAAACAAATATAATTCAATGTACAAAATAATGCATATACTCCATTCATTTCCAAGAAAGCTGATAGTTTTTATTATTATTTTTAATAACTCTGTGTATATATGTTTATATATGTATGTGGTGAGGTCTGGTAGCCTCTTGTAGAATATTGTCGACTGAATCTGTGATGAGGTATCCAGTCGACTTAAACTATGGTGTGAGTCCCTGTCAACTCTCGCTATACTGTGTTGACCGAGAGGAACAGTCAGGATGTGGTGAGTTTTCCAGTACCTCTCTGCACCTTGCAAGACCTTTAACAGTTCTCACAGAGTACAGGCAGTCGTGGTCGAGGCAGGGTGGAAAGCTTGGGAATGTCCACACAAAAAACGAAGACACAATTGCACTAAGAAAGTTCCGTGAACAGATAAAAGCTGAGCTAGGAGCGAAAGATGGAGATAGAAGAGTTCTTTTTGGTGTACATGGTGGATGAGGTGGACCTGGGGTACAACCGACGAGGGCTCACGCAGATGGTGAAGTAACTGTATTTTTGGCTAGGACGGAGGCTTTATATACCTTTTCTGAGAAAGGGAGTTTTGCATTTTACCAGATGTGAAAAGTGTGGATCGTCTGGTGAAATTCTAAACTGGCGCCGTGGCAGTTTCCATCTTTAGACCTTGTTGTTTTGTGACTTCTATCTCGATTTTAGACGTTATGATTTCTATCTCTTGCTTCAGCTCAACTCTTAATCTATTACAGAGTTTTATTTATTTATCCTCAGTTTGTACAAAGTATATTACATATGATGATGTAATGACACATGTCAATCATGCGTATAATCATTTACAGATGTGTTTCTATTATACAACATAAATATCTTGTTTTAAGTTAAATACAATATGGGGTTGTTGGTTCAAATTACCATATGTATATATATGTTATATGTATATATATTTTTACCAGGAGTGTATGGTCACGTGTGTAAATTTATTGTATATATATGGTGGTTGGAAATAAAGTTGAGTTTTTGTAAGACCAATGCTTTGAGACTAGTTAGGATTTTGAAAAGCCCGCTACATTTTAGAAGAATTGTTCGCCAACTATACCTCTAGGTTAAAGAGTGAATTGAAGAAAGCCAGCGAAAAGAGGCTATCGAACAAATGTCATTCCACGTGCGCAGGTAAAACTGGCAGATCCAATGAGGATCAGACTGAATGTACACATTATAAATTTTAGATCTAAAGACCACTTTCCATGATTTCTCAATTTATTTCTGAGAGACGGTTAGAAGCCAATTGAAAATATTTCTATAATGAATATATTATAAAGGACTGCGGCGTATGATTATAAAGTAATACTTAAAGTTGCACCGCATAAGTTTCTTTTCTGTGATAAATCAATATTTATTTCAAAGAGAAATATCTACTATTTCTAACTTTTTTGGATGACGTATGAAAGGGTGAAAATATGAAGAGTGATGGTCTATATATGATTGGATGACGTATGAAAGGGTGAAAATATGAAGAGTAATGGCGAACGGAAAAATAAAAGTGTCCAGGGGCGGGAATCGAACCCACAACCTTCCGCTTACCGGGCAGATGCCATGTCCACTAGGCTACCCTGGACGTATCTTTCCGTTCGTAACTAATACTTAAAGTAACTTATAATACATTATAAAGGACTACGGCGTATGATTATAAAGTAATACTTAAAGTTGCACCGCATAAGTTTCTTTTCTGTGATAAATCAATATTTATTTCAAAGAGAAATATGTACTATTTCTAACTTTTTTGGATGACGTATGAAAGGGTGAAAATATGAAGAGTAATGGCGAACGGAAAAATAAAAGTGTCCATTTTCACCCTTTCATACGTCATCCAATCATATATAGACCATCACTCTTCATATTTTCACCCTTTCATACGTCATCCAAAAAAGTTAGAAATAGTAGATATTTCTCTTTGAAATAAATATTGATTTATCACAGAAAATAAACTTATGCGGCGCAACTTTAAGTATTACTGTATAATGAATATAATATCATAAAGAAAGAATTTGAGTTACTAACACCGTTTCGATCTCTAAAAAGAAGACCATAGATCCATTTTCCTCGCAGTTTTTATAATCATATTCCCATAAAGGTAAAGTAGACACATTTCTAAAACCCCAATATTTGAAAAAATATATATATATATTTAAATATATGTATCATGTAACAAACATTATTCAAAATTTTGGTTGTAAATTGTCCACACTACACACTTACAAAAAGACCTAGTTAGAAATTTGCAATATTTTAAATTAGGGCTGTCGAAAAGAGATTTACGCTTGAAAGCAGAGTTTATAATGAAAGAGAAAAACTTTTTGTGAAATTTCTTTATAATTTTAATATATATATAAATGGAAAATATTTATTAACTCCAGAGTCAATACAACTTCAGTATTAATCTTAACCAAGAACACCAGCGTAAAGACAAGGGGATAAAGAAGGGACCTTATGATGTAGGGGAAGCTATCTCTAGGCTAGTTTAATAAATAAATTACATGAATTAAACAGAGAAGAGGCTCCTGGCTTGTGATATCTTGAAACAAAACCACAGAGGGGGTTAGAAGCTGGCTGTTATTTCTAACACAGAAATGTACTCTAGGTCTTTGACCCCAACTTCCCATCCCGACAGCTGGCGACAATTCCTTATTACAACAAAATTGAATGTTAAGGTAAAATTATAAAGCTTCCAGGGAAAAGTATCCTTTCAAAATCTTTAATCTCTAGCTTTCGGCCAGTAACGCTCTTCTACAGGAGAAAACACTATTTCTCCCATATCTTCTCCTGTAGAAGGGTTTTCCTGCCCGAAAGCTGGGCTACTAACCAAATTGCATAATTTTTGAGCCCCAAAAAAATTCCCACGCCGTGATTCGAATCCGGGACTTCTGAGTGAGTATCCTAGCCACTAGACCACGTGGGATGAAAAAAAGAGCGCAGCCGACAGGATTCGAACCTGTGCGTGGAAACCCCATTGGATTTCGAGTCCAACGCCTTAACCACTCGGCCACGACTTCTTCTAAAGCCTAGAAATAAAAGATCTTGAAATTAAATTTTACCATCGGAAGACTGATATTTTTACCTTAATATTGATACAAGGGATTATTTTATTGAAAGTTAAATGTAAATTTAAATGTAATGGACTAGAGAATGAGAACTGCACAATTTCGATTCATGCATCAGTCTACGGACATGAGGTCGAGAGCCCCTTGGAATTAGATTTGAGAATCAAATAATGCACAATGATTTGTTCCTAGCCCAGTATCAGTGGAACGGGCAAGCTATTGGGGAGGTGAGGGGTTGAGAACCAGTCCTCGTTTAACTTAGGACAACATTATGTTAACAAAACATCAATATTATTTCACATATCCTGATCATAGTCTGCCACCATTACAGCATATCCATTTCTCTGATTACAAAATGTTTGCAGCCCTGAACCGAAAATGTTCCTTGCCTTTTAGGGCCTGGCTGAAGATGTCGATTCAAATTACTTTATTTACCAAACTTCACCCTGAACACCGTCATCTCATCTTTGGCATAAGTAACGACGCCCACAACACACACCGTGTAGCATAGAAACAATAGTAATTACAGACTGTAAGATTTTACATAACCGTTCCTGATAGCTCCTACGAGATATATTTGTCCGAAGATATTCTACCAACTGCTTCTAGTTGATATGAAGTTTATTTTCCGGCCACGCCACCAGAACTTGTCTCGCGGAGTTGGCCTTCTTCAACCAAATTCCGATTTTCAAATATTATGACGTGGATCTAAAAATGCTATTACTAAATATAATAAACAAGTAGAATTCAATATACAAACCAATGCATATACTCCTTTCAGTTCCAAAAATGCCATGCCACATGGTTAGGTGAATCTGGCAGATCAATCGAGGCAAGACTGAATGTAGACATACGAAAATATTGATCTAAAGACCGACTTTCCATGATTTGTCAATATATTTTTAAGAGACAGGTTATGAGCCAATTGCAAATTTTTATATAATGAATATAATATCATGAGTTACTAACACAGTTTCGATCTCTAAAAAGAGGTCCATAGATCTATTTCTTCATAGTTTATATAATCATATTTCCATAAAAGTAATAGTGGGCGCATTTCTAAACACCCAATATTTGATTTAAAAAAAACCAAATATGTAAATATATCATATATTTTAATTAATATTCCAAATTTAGGTTGTAAAATTATCCACGTTACACACGCACACTTGCAAAATTATACAGAATTTTGCTTGAAAGTGGAATTTCTAATAAAAAAGAAAAAATCATTGTGAAAATTCTTTATAATTTTAATATATATATGAGGAGAATATTTATTGACTCCAGAGTCAATACAACTGCAGTATTAATTTGAACCAAGAACACCAGCGTGAAGACCAGGGGTTAAAGAAGGGACCCTGTGATGTAAAGGAAATTATCTCTTGGCTAGCCAAAATGAAAAAAAAAAAAAACATCTACTTGAATTTGAAAGAGACAGGGCTCCTGGCTTGTGATATCTAGAAACAAAACCACAGAGGATGTTAGAGGCTGGCTGTTATATCACACACCGCAATGTACTTTAGGTCTTTGACCCTAACTTCCCATCCCGACAGCTTTCGACAATTACTTATTACAACAAAATTCAATGTTGAGGTAAAAATATAGTTTCTATGGAGAAAGTTTATTTTCAAAATCTTCCATCTCGCGGGCAGTAACCTTCTTCTACAGGAGAAAACAATATTTTTCCCGTTTTCTCTCCTGTAGTTGGGCATTCCTGCCAGAAAGCTAGAGAGAATAAAGTTTTACAGGCTACTAATCAAAGTGTATGTTTTTTTAAGTCCCCCCCCCCCCCCCCCCTTCCTCCCCAAAAAATAAAATACCACGCTATGATTCGAATCCGGGCCTTCTGGGAGAAAGCCAGATATCCTAGCCACTAGACCACGTGCGATAAAAAAAAAAAAAAAAAAAAAAAACGCAGCCGACAGGATTCGAACCTGTGCGGGGAAACCCCATTGGATTTCGAGTCCAACGCCTTAACCACTCGGCCACGACTGCTTCTGAGTGAGAAGGCTAGAAATTAAATATCTTGAAAAGAAACTTTACCCTGAAAGCCTGATATTTTTACCTTTATATTGATACAAGGGATTATTTTATTGAGAGTTAAATGTATCGGACTAGAGATTGAAAACTGCACAATTTCGATTCTGCCAACTCTTTACTGACATAACGTCAAGACCCCTACGAAATTTGAGTTGAAATTCAAACAATGCTCAATGATTAGTTCCTAGCCCAGTGTCCATGGAACGGGCAAGCTCTCGGAGAAGTGGAGAGTTGAGAACCAATCCACGTTTAGTTTAATTCCTTTTCAGAATAAATTATTTATATAAGGTGTAATTATAAACACATTTCTTAAATAGGCATATAGCTTCAGATCTGTTTGAAAGGTGCTCATTTGGTGTCATGTTTTGTGTTAATTTGACCAATCAGTTGATACATTCCACATCGCGTGTTATCACACAACACTTCTCGTTGGATGGATACTTTTGAATTATACTTATCACAAAATAAAAGAAACCAATGAAACATCAAATTAGAAGATACAATCGAAGTTCACCCTGGTAAGCAGAGAGGTTTCAAAAGAAAGGTGACCAGAATTCACCACGAATTTACATATGATATTGCTTTAACAGTTGGAGAATTAATTTGGTCATTTTATTTGTGTTATGGTAGACCAGGGATCATCTTAAGTATTTTCAACACATTATTTGAGGAGCTTCAATTATTGTGTCATTAGTAAGAATATATAGAGTAAATAAACTTATTCCTAGGAGGATGGCTGTTTGGAACCTATGAAGGTGGGACATCTGTGGTGGTCGACAGTTTGGTCTTCCTGGTGACAATGTGAGCAGGTAGGATCGTCTTTTGATATTTTTGAAGAATCGGCTTTGAAAAAGCTGTGACATGTGAGGATTGTAGCGGTGGTGCCACTAGATTTTATTTTGGGTAGAATCGCAATGATAAAGCAAAGTCGTACCTCAACGACAAAAAAAACTGGTCATTCAGACATCCTGAAAAAATCATGAAACAGGTAGTTAAGGCCAGAAATGCATGAGAACACAATTCAATGTGAAAATATAGTACAAAGGTGATATTGTGATGGGATAAGGTTCATAAATTAAAAAGAAAAAAGGCCATATTCTTATCGGGCAACTGAAAGTTGCTGATGGCTTGCGCCATCTATCTGAATAAATATGAATTATCGTTGAATTTCAATTATTCTCGAGTTGCCCAGAAATACTCTTTCTTGATTAATTGAAGAAAAGCTAACCACGTTCGCGTTTCGGGCTGTTAGTCCTTATTAGCGTGGGGCAAGCTGTAATGAAAAATCATGAAAGAGGTATTTAGGCCGGAAAGACGAAAACGTCCAACCTTTAGTCATATTTTCAGAGGATGTCTTTTTATTAATTTATGCATTTATTCCCTCAATACAAATTCACTTTTGTACTATTTTTCTAATAGTTTAAATTGAATAATAATTATTGAAAATTGTATAATATATATGATACATTTTGAATGATATTCAACTTCTATCTATTTTGCATAATAGAAAAATTCTATCTGTTTTGCATAATGTTTTTTTGTTTGTAAAATAATTAATTTTACCGCGTGCCAAGTATGCAAATTTTGTTGTTTGTTTTAAAAAATATTTGAAAAATAAAGAGATTATTGAGGTGGAGACAGCCACACAAACGACTGCTAAATTTTTTTTTCCCACACAGTAGAAATACATCAGTTAGTCGACAGGATCGCTGCCTACGGGAAGATCCCAAGAATATCTTATATTTTATCAAGATCAAAGCAAGGTTCCTGCCAGGAATATTTAAAGAAAAGAAAAAATAATAATAAATAAATTCGAAATGACATCGAAGAAAGACTTGAAAACTTTACAGAAAGAAGAGGTTGTTACCGGAGCGAAAATAGACATTTCAATTAAAGAAATTTTGCCGATTTTCAACCCTGATACAGGCCTTACGTATCAAGAATGGCGAAATCTTTTTGAAAGGATAGTCGCGCTTCAAAGTATTTCAGAAAAGGATGCTCTATCAATGATCCCGAGCATTTTTAAAGGAAAAGCGTTAGAGATCTACGCCTCGATGTGCCAGGACGTGTTTACGTTGGATGAACTTCACCAAGCTATGAATACATTTTTCCCGGTATCGACAAGTGGATTGATGAAGCAATTTTGGACTGAAAAGAAGCTACCATCGCAACCCCTTATGGACTACTATTTTAATAAACTGAAGTTGGCAAAAATATTGAATATAAGTTCAGAGCAGACCCTGGAAGCGCTTTCTTCGAATGTAAACGCGAAGCTGAGACCATTTTTGATCGCTGCCAATCCAGCTAATCTGGACATGTGGATTAAAATTGAATCTTCCCTGGAAGAAGGATTTCGACATGAAGAGACATCTTCATCATTTAATGGCCCCAGATATTGACGGGACTTTCAAAATATCGACTCAAGAATTGCAACACCTTCACAGGATTCTCTTCCTTCAGGTGCCCGCTTCGGCAGAGAGGTTGGCGACCGACAAGAAACCCGGCGAAAGCAGTTTTACCAAGACTTTCGAGGTAATGTAAGGCAACAATAGTGCCCAGGAGTGATGAGTGACGTTGGGGTAGATTCATTACTCTTGGGAACCTATTTAGTACTTTTTGATTCCGGCAGTGACATTAATATTATTTCCGTACACCTATTACCTGAATGCCTTTTAGATAAGATAAATAACTCTAGCCAACAACACACAAACACACCTAATATGATTAGCACTGTATCTAACCGTATTGGAATATTTGGACAAATTTGTTTAACGATCAGAATTGGAGATATAACTAACAATATGTTGTTCTATATTATTGATAATCCAAATTAAAATTTTCTGATACTATCCACTAAGTACCTGAAATATTTTAGCCTAAAGATTGATTTTGATGAGAATGTTATTATGCAAAATAATGTGTTTTTATCCAAATTTCAATATACATTTTCTAAAGATGAACTCAATGCTTTGCAATATTGTGATAACTCAAAAAAATATTTTGGTGTTTTTAATAATGTTAAATATTGTAAAAAACATAATTATTGTTTAAAACTTTCAGGAAAATGTAATCATATAAAAAAGTTACCTCTTTTAGATAGAACTATTGATCAATATAACATAAATGTCCCCTCTTGTTTTAAATCTAAACTCGTTTACCAACCAAACTTTCGACCCTTACCCTTGCCAAATCTAGAAGACAGCTATCTAAATAATGATGACAAACACACTTTAGAATAATTTCTATATTTTATTAAGTCACTATAATGATATTTTTGGTGAAAACAAATATAATATTAGACCATTAAAAGTAGATACCCCCAGGTTAAGACTCAAAGATAAAACTCCTGTTTGTCTCAGACCTTATCGACATAATCCCAGGGACACCGAAATAATTAAGGAACAAATTAGGCAATTATTAAAATATGGGATTATTAGGCATGCTTCTTCTCCATATAGTTCGCCAGTAACTTTAGCACATAAAAAGGGAGAAAATGATAAATCTAGACTATGTATCGACTTTAGGAAATTGAATTCAAAATTGATAGGAGATAGTTTCCCAATTCCTTTAGTTGAAAATATCATCCAAAAGGTGCAAGGCTCAAAAGTATTCTCGTGCCTTGATATTCTAAGTGCATACTGGACTATTGGTTTACATGCAAAAGATCAACCTATTACTTGCTTTACCACCACAGAAGGTTCTTACCAATGGTGCAGATTACCATTTGGATTGCGGACAGCTCCTGCTATTTTTAACAGGATCCTCACTTCCATATTGCAGAAATATGAACTTAAAAATATAATATCTTACTTTGACGATATCTTGGTTTTCTCAAAAGATACCGAATCCCATTTAGAACACCTTGGGGAAATATTTGCAATCCTACAAGAGGAAGGTATCCAACTTAGGAAAAATAAATGTTTGTTTTTTATGCAAAATATAAATTATTTGGGTTACGATATTTTTGGAGATCAAATCTCTCCATCAAGTACTAATGTTGGTATAATTGAATCTTTGCCCCCTCCTCGTGATGTTAGATGCTTAAGGTCATTTTTGGGCAGCGTTACGCATTATGCAAAATTTATAAATAATTTTATTAAGTTGAGAGCGCCTTTAAATGATCTATTGAAAAAAGATGTAAAATTTACGTGGAGTGAAGAGTGTCAGAGGAGTTTTGAAGCCCTTAAAGAAGCATTAGTTTCGAAACCAATACTCCAAATTTATAATCCATTATTAGTAACACATATCTTTTGCGACGCTAGTATTGCAGGTTTAGGAGGCGTACTTAAACAGGAGTATCCTGATGGCACCTTAAGACCCATAGCGTTTTATAGTAGGGCTTTAAGGGGAGCAGAATCCAAGTATACAATAACAGAACTTGAATTATTGGCGATAATAGAAACATGTAAAAGATATCATCCCTATATTTCAGGTCAACATGTGATAGTTCATACCGACCATAAGGCATTAATTTGGTTAAATAATTTCAAACATACTAACGGTAGATTATTCCGATGGGCGCTAAAATTATCAGAATATGATTTGGAATTTAAATATAATAAGGGATGTGAGAATCATGAAGCCGACAATGTTGTCTCGACTGCCATATACCTGCTTCTTAACTGTTCAAAATATAGAACAAGAACAAAAATCATTACTTAAGCCTTCATCTAAACTATATTTCATTAAAAACGGTATTACTTATATTAGGCTAAAAAATAGAGATAGGATTATCGTACCACCCTCCTTACAACAACAATTGATATGTAGGGCTCACGAAAGTTTAGGACACCCGGGCATAAGTTCAATGGCTAGAGTTATCTCAACACAATATTATTTCAAAGGAATGA